GCACATCACAGAATTGATGCCACAGGGTTTTAGACTCCTGGGGATAAATATGACAGACATGGGGAGCTTGCCTTCTAAATGAGGAAGACAGGACAGACCTACTGGATTTTGATTATGCTAATTACAAAAGTATTTGAGGAAGGAAATAATGCAAGTTTAGAAAATGGGTTAGATTAATAGAGGCAGGCTTCCTGATAGAGGTGGAATCTGCCACCACAAAAGAGCTAGTTTGGAAATGTTGGGATGTAGAATAAGACAGACATTTTTCTTTGCACACACATTTACTTTTGGGAATGGTTGCCTGGAAGTTTTATGAAATGCTGCAAGTGTAAGTCTTAGGCTATAAAGGTCAAAGAAGTAAAGGTGAGAGTGGCCGTATTTTGACAGTATCACCATTGAGAGAATGTATTTAGGCACAGTTTTGCTCTCTATAATTCTCTGGAAAATTTTGTGTTATAAAGGAAGATGAGTATCTAGATCACATTCTTGGCCATGCTTCCCTGATGAAACAGAAAAGTGACTCACCAGGTAGACAGAGAGTCTCTCAATGCATTTGGTGTGCAGTTACAATTCATGAAGAGAAATATTTCATTCCTCTGGCCGAAAGGGGCAAGCAGGCCTGGAATTCTGAAGATAGCTGGTCATACATGCCTGATGGAGACCATGCCTTGTGGTGCCAGCGTGTATGTATGGTACATCCATAGTACATGTATGATACATATATGGCATAAGAAATGGGCTTATTTGTACAATTGTGTGTGTCTGATGCTCCATGTAGCAGGGGTGGATTATCCTGCCTTCAGACAAATGCCCAATTCAGAGGAAAACCCAAGTGTGAGGCACAAGTATGGCCACTTCCCCAGAATCCCCTGCTTTAAGGGGTATTCCACAAACCTCTGCCATAGGGGTGTGTGTGTGTGTGTGTGTGTGTGTGTGTATGTGTGTGTGTGTGCTGAGAGAAGGAGACTCTTTCTGAAATTTTGGAGTTCAGGGTCCAAAGTTCATGGGCTTCCTTATATACTGGTAACAAATTAAAATCCAATTTTTCAAGTTTATAATTCTACATATTTGATACTGGCTTTTGTTGAAAGATTCCACAATCTCAGCATGTGAGAAATGGAAGACTTAATACTAAAGCTCACCCAGGCCCCCACTGCACAGAGGAAGAAGAATCGAGGCTCTGGGTGAGGGTGGCTGAGGAACATGGAGGAGGAATTGAGGCTCTGGGGGAGGGTGGCTGAGGAACATGGAGGAGGAATCAAGGCTGTGAGGGAGGGTGGCTGAAGAACATGGAGAAGGAATCAGGGCTCTGAGGGAGGGTGGCTGAGGAACATAGTAGAAGAATCAAGGCTCTGAGGGAGGGTGGCTGAGGAACATAGAAGAATCAAGGCACTGGGGGAGGGTGGCTGAGGAACATGGATGAGAAATCGAGGCTCTGAGGGAGGGTGGCTGAGGAACATAGAAGAATCAAGGCACTGGGGGAGGGTGGCTGAGGAACATGGTAGAAGAATCGAGGCTCTGGGGGAGGGTGACTAAGGAACATGGAGGAGAAATCAAGGCTCTGAGGGAGCGTGGCTGAGGAACATGGAGGAGGAATGGAGGCTCTGAAGGAGGGTGGCTGAGGAACATGGAGAAGGAATCAGGGCTCTGAGGGAGGGTGGCTGAGGAACAGGTCCGAGGTCACACAGCCAGTCAGAGGCATTTGGACTATAACTTGGGTCTCTGTTTCACTTACTGTAGAAATTTCCCCTTTGCACAGATGAAGACATTTAGACATGGAGGACAGTTTTTTTGTAAGATCTTCTGCTTGACAAGGGCAAAATCGAACCAGCTCCAGACTCTGGAACTTCCTGCCATGATCACTTTCTAAAAATCCCAAGCTTGTTTCCTCCCCACTCTGTTAGATTTCATACCTTGCATACCAATACATATCAGAAAAGTGAAGCCCAGCTTGGCTCTTCGTTTTCATCGATTCAAGAGTCTTTTCCTGTGTCACCAACAAGGGGGCTGCCCTGAACCAGCCAGAGCCAGAAGGACAAATGAGGATGCCTTCAATACTACCCCCTCCTCAAATGTTATGAGCAGAGAGGGACTTGTACTGCCACCATCTGGCCTTTGTAGGTGTCCCAGACATGGCAAGTATGTGGTGAGAGGGAAGGAAACAGCACAAATTGTCTACTTTACCATTCTCTTAAAATAAGCTTCATGTGAGCAAGCTTTTCAGAGCAGCAGGACTAGGGCTGCGAAAAATAGAGTGTGGTGCAGCTGCACCCTTTAGAACTTTGGGGGAAAACACATATTATTTACCAGACAATAATAGATACCAGAGAATAATAATGATTATTATAGTGTTTGGGATGGCAAATGCTGTAGTTAAGGTTCCAGAATGGCTCTTATTATAAATCCCGTTTTCCCGAGTCTCTTGTGAAAGCCTGGAAATTTTCTTTAAGTAGGCTGATGCTGTCCATGTTTGGTCTTTGTCCAAAGGTGATTTAAATATAAAGAAACTTACTGGAGAAATATTCCTTTTTTAAAATAGTGGATGCATTAAAGAAAAAAACTACATTATTAAAAAAAGCAGTTGCAGCATTCTTAAGTAAGCAATTCAAAATGGTGGTGTTTCCCAGTTACTGGAGGAAAATGTTAAACACTCTCCCTTCTCCCTTTTAAAGAAAGAATTTGGAGGCCCCCTCTAACTACAAGATTCAGTCACTCTTGGTTCCAGGCCCAGAGGTGGGGATGGCTTCCCTCCCTCCACAGCAACTTCCAGGCTGTGCTTGCTAAATGCAAAAGAACTGTCCCCAGAAGAAGTGACCCCGGTGTCTTTGGATCCACTTGTCATCTCTGCAGCTCCTCAGTTTTTTGTGGCCTCACATTTGATGGTGGATCTTGGTGCTTTTGTTTTTGTATCCCTTCTCTCCATTGTCACTTATTTGAAAGAAAGAAAGAGAGAGAGACAGAGAGAAAGAAAGACAGTCAAATGTGAACTCTTTATTCAGAGATAAATATCCACATTTCCAAATCTGACCGTGCCAAATGAAAAGGTTTCCATGGCCTTGTAATTCCACCCCCATTACATATTTGTGGTGTTTTGCATTTTCACTTTGGTTATTTAATATACATATTAAGTACACACAGATCTGGTGATTTAATGTGATTGGGGGAACTCAGGCATTTCCTGTCGTGCACAGTGAAACTTTCAAACCTTGTTTTTGGCTGCTGCTGATTATTGTTGCCATTAACACCAGGATTTGGATAGCAGGGTTCAAAGCACAAGCTTCCACTTAGTCCTCCCAATGGGCATTTGACCTCCTCTTGCTCTTGCTAAATTCATGTTGCAAACACTCCAAGCAAGCTACCAGGTCGCTTTCTGGCTCCATTTCTTCACTATAAAATGAGGAAATGGTACTGTATTATCTCTGGGGTCCCTTCAAGTCCTACATTCTATCACCTCTCTGGAGTTGTTTGTTCATTGTTCTAAGAATAATCTCAACAGTTGTAAAGACGTTTACAAGTCCTCTGTCACCACCTCACCTTAGCCAAATTTTACCCATTCACATTTCTGACGGCCTCATTTATTGGCAGGAAGAAAAGGTGCTGTTTTGGGGCATGGCAGAAGAGAGCCGCCTGACCCACTCACGTGATCAAAGTGTGTCGCGCGCCCACAGCGGGCCAGACTCTAGGAGCTAGGAATTCAACTCCAGAGCTAGGAGTTGGGTGTAGAGACACGAGCAAAACAGACAAGCCCCTGACCTCTGGGGCTTTACCATGCAGTTGGCAGACTTCTAAGTGGCTGCTCCCAGGAGTGACTGAGTGGCCTCAGGAAGCTGTATTTCAAACCAAGCGACTGGCAGCAAATGAGAGAAGCCTGCAGGGATAAAGAGGCAGAGCCTCATGTCTTGGTGAATGTTGGGATGAGCCTTCCCCAGAAACTAACTTTCCTGGTGGAAAATCCTGTTCAGAGCCTCTGCCCTGGGACCCCAAGGCTCTTGGTTGGTTTATTTTCTTCCAGTCCAGTGCTACTGTTTGTTTTGGACGTGAAGACATGTGAATGGCTCACCTTTTACAGGCAAGACCCACACACGGAGAAAAGCAGGCATTTCTTCCAGCTTAGTTGCCTTTGTGGGAAACTTCTGAAGATAGGTATATGTGTCCATGGTAATTTTCCACTTGCCAAAAAGTGAATCTGTTGGCCCTCTTTTCAGCAAATACCAGAGCTGAGACATCGGGTTACAGGAGTGAGGTCTGGAGCTCCAGGGTCCCCCGTGACCTTACCTGGCTTTGGAGTGACCTTGGGTGACTCAAAAGACCTCCTGCTGGGGCTGGGCACAGTGGTTCACGCCTGTAATCCCAGCACTTTGGGAGCCCAAGGTGGGTGGATCACTTGAGGCTGGGAGTTCAAGACCAGGCCTGGCCAACATGGTGAAATCCTGTTCTCTACTAAAAATACAAAAATTAGCTGGACATGGTGGTGCACACCTGTAATCCCAGCTACTTGGGAGGCTGAGGCAGGAGAATCCCTTGAAACTGGGAGGCAGAGATTGCAGTGAGCCAGTTGTGCCACTGCACTCCAACTTGGGCGACAGAGCGAGACCCTGTCTCAAAAAAAAAAAAAAAAAAAAAAAAAAAAAGAAAAAGACAAAAAAAGCCTCCTGCTGGTTAAGCATGCAGTCATGTGGAGGGGGAAGGGTTGCTGGGTTGCAAAGGATGCTGTGGTCTTTGGATGAGGGCGTGGTACACCCTGCTCATTATGGTATTCCAAAAAGCGACTTGAGTTTCATTTCCTCACACAAAGCTGGCAGGGCTGACCTGAGCAGACCGTGAATGAAACTCCTGTTGAAATCACGCTGTGCTGCAGCGGTTCTGGGGCTCATCCTAGGTCTGCCCTGGCGGCTGGAGAGTGCGGTGCTGTCTGACTCATGCCTGGGTTCTCCCCAGCTGGGTGGAGGGAGGGGGATCGGTCCAGTGGATTCTGACAGCCCCTTCTGCTCTTTTTCCAGGAATGCTCACTCACAGGGTACGCTCATGGAGAGAGGGCGCAGAGCAAACCATGTCACGCCATCCAATGACACCAGCTGGTCAGCTCACCACCCCCTCTGGCTAAAACTCAAGCAAATAAAGCCGCTTCCTGTCATTAAGCATCTCAGAGGAAGCAGCCCTCCCTCGATGGCCTCTAGCCCAGAGAAGCCCGCGCGTCTTGGACCCACCAAGCAGGCCCAGCCTTCCTGCTGCCACCATCTCTGCTTCTCCCCAGAGGAACTTAGGGATTTCACCCCTGGCTTTTAAAAAAAATGAAATACCAACAAGCCACAAGGACCAATGTAGGTATTCTCCCCGCCCCGTCTTCAAGGCTCAGCGGCTGAGGCTGGAAGATGATATGGATTGGAACACAAAAAATCTTTTTTTAATCTTTTTAAAAACTGCTGTGGTTTTGCTGCTACACTAAGAATTGTGATTTGCATTGTATGGTTTTGGACCTATACTGTTCACGTTTTGATGGCGGAGAGGGGTGGTCCTGGAGGCCCAACGCTTCAGAGTCATCTCTGTCCTGCCCGGGATGCACTTTTAAATGAAGAGTTAGAATATTTTATTGGCTAATATACTTTTCTTGTTATTTTTACAAAGGCCACCTTTATCCTTTTTGATGCCATATTTTCAGTGTTACACTTTTATGGCTTTTAATTTTCGATTTGACAGATGTAAGAAGCAGCATGAATAGTTTATACTGTGGTTTTTCAGAGACTGAATGCCAAGAGAACTCGGTAAATGTTTATTCTTCTCAGCTTTCTCTTTAAATTCCCCTAAATAGCGCCCCATTTGGGAACAGAGCAAGAGTGTTGAACTGAAGACCAAAATGCCCTCAAGGTGTAAAATAATCCGAGGGGGAATATTTGCTGGGCGTCAGGAAAGACTCGGATGAAATTTCAACCCTGATGGTTTTCGGTGATCCAGGAAGTCAGTGAGACAATCTCTCTATACGCAGAGCCCTTTCATGATAATTAGAATGGTATGGACAAACCAATGAAAACAAGAGGGAAAGTGAGAAAGATCACCCATGATTCTGTTTCACTGTTTGCTTTCTCCTGTCATGGTTAAGAGAAATGTGCAATTCAATCCTCAATCAGTGGGTGGAGGATAACAGGGTAGATTCACTTGTGTGCACTTGTACAGTTGTAGCTGCGAGTCCAGAAGTCCTCTAGAGCATGTGTACTGGCACTGAGTTGGTGAGACAGTTGTGGAGTATCCCATTCTGATGAGTACAGAAAAAAAAAAAAAAAGAAAAAAAAAGAAAAGAAGAGAAAAAATTAAGAAAAAAATCAAAAAAGGAAGAAAACTAAAAAAAAAAAAAAAAATCAAATCACCTTGTGATTCAGTGTATCTGTTTACTAACTCAAATAAAGCAGTTGTTCCCTCTGGAGGGGTCCAGGTTCCCCTGCCCCACAAGGCCGTGGAGCCTCAGCAGGAGGGGTGGCGAGTCGCGGGTGGGCAGGGCCAGGACGGTGTGGCACCAGCCTTGAAGCGCCACGGCCCGAGGATGCGGTGTACATACTGTATTTCTAGATTCTCCTTTGTACAGAGTCACTTCACAAGTCAAGCTACTGTTTTACAGGTGCTCCTTATTTATTAGAGCTGTGAGAGCTTGGGGGACACACCTGGCGAGCAAGCTCGCTTTTTAAAAATGAAATTTGGGGGCAGGGGAAGGGGAGGTGGGAGGGAGGGGAAGCTCGCAAGCCTGGGGAGAGATTTATAAAAGTAAACAAAAGAAAAACTTCCAGCAACAAATTAAAAAATAATAACAAATAAACCCCAGCACCAAACCCACCCAGGCAGGAAGAAGCCGCCCCTCCTCTGGGGCCGTATTTTTCTGCTGGGTCACAACATTCTCCTCTCCCTGACTGGTGTCAGATTCATCAAACAAAAAATAAATCTCGAAGGAAAAAAACGCACTTACATGTGCTTATTTGGCTTTTCTCATTATTATGACTACTGTTGTTATTTTATTTTATTTTATTATTTTTGTTACAGAGGTGTTCATTTTTCTCCCCCTGGGAAACATTTTAAAAAATAGAACTAAGGAGTTTTAAAAGATGGTAAGCTACAGGGATAGCACTGTCTGTTCCTGACCTGCTAGACCACGCTTGTCTGCAGACAAGAGCCCACTCCATCCGTTCCACGGCCTGCTTCCCAACCATGCCCGTCACTGACGGCACACAGTGTGTGGGAAGTGAGTGCTTAGGCCTGTAGACCCAGGTGTGGTGTCCCTTCCAAGTGTTTTTCAAGTCCTGATCTTTTTTGGCTCCAAGAGTTCAGGCCTAAGGTTCAAGAAGCACCATCAAATGGAGGCAAACATGCTCCACGGGTTCCACTCACATTCACACACCATCTCATCCCACTGACTAGAGACTTTTATTTCAGCCTTATGTGAATGGGGTGGGTCCGTTTGGCTCTTTGGTACCTGAGTTAAATATCAGAAAGTTCCTAAGGTGGAAAGTATGCTAATATCTAGTTCTAGTCATTGTAAATCTAGTTCAGTTCTCTTGTTCTACATATGAAAAAACAGAAGCCTAGAAAAGCAACTCGACCTGTTCAGAGTACCACACTTAGTTGATTTCTCTTCTCAAAAAATGAATGCTCATTAACATCTGAGGCACCATGAGCAGTTCCCTCAAAGAGACCATCCTGTGGATTCCGGAGACCTGATTTCCTTCTCCCTTGGAGCCCGAGAGAATCTTGGAGGCTTCCTGGTGCAGGGTTATATTTATGGCGGTGACTCCGTCTGAACTCTGCCGAGGCAAGCCCCGCCAAGGCCGTGCCAGTGGCCGAGGCACCTGGCTGTGGTTGTCCTGATAGCATTATTCATCTGGACTTGGCCATGGAGACAGTCATCCAGGATATTGATTTTGCTTTTGTCTGTAGTCCAAGATTGTCAAGCAAACATTTTGACCCTTTTGGAAACAAAAGGTACCTTTGTTCCAGCGTAGAGAGATTCTGTGGCATCTCATAAGCCATCAGCACCCCTTTTCCTCCTCTTCCTTCTCATGATCTTACTGCTGTCTGAATGCACAATTCTCTTGGGATATCAAAACCATATATAAAGATAAATAGAAACAATAATGTATGTAAGCGTGAGTACATGTTGAGTGTTTGCATATTAGTCTCATTTAATCTTCACAATAATCTTCTTTATGGGAAGGGCCTTTATTTTCCCTTTATTACATACGAAGAAGCAGCGGCTCAGCAGTTTAGTAATCACCCAAGGTCACAGGGCTAGTGAGTTGCCGAATGGGATTCAAGCCTGGAGGTGCCAGTACCCCGCCCCTACCTCCAGTGTGGAGAAAAACTGTTGACATCTTCATGAAGAGTCTTTGACTTTCTGTAAATGTGTGGCAGTGATTCAGTTTTATTCAAAAGTGGTCCTCATTTTAAACCAAGCCAGAAGATTGTGTGTTAATGGTGAGTGCACGCCTCGCCTTTACTGGATGCGGGGACTCGCAGAGGACATTCTGCTTTCTGAAAAGTAAGTCAGGCAGGATTTTCCTTGGTGGTTATCATCCCCCCCATGGAACACAAAGCCCTATGCCTGATGCTGAGGGGAAGCCAGAGAGGAAGAAAACTCACAGTCCCTGCCCTAGTGGTTTATACTTGATGGGAAGACAGGGCTGTGGAAAAGATGGACCACTTCTTGGTCTCACTAGGATGCTCTCTCAGTGTTTTCCAGGGTTTATGTAATCACGTGTTTGGAGCCTGGATTCATAACTTTGCAAAGCCGCCCTCCCCTTGCAGGTAGGTGCTCCCCTGATAAGGGATGGGCAGCTTGAACCACAAGTAGACCTATAAGTGCCAGGCCATGCCACCCAGATGGCACAACCAAAAGCCAGACTGAGGCGCAGGTGCACGGGCACTCAAGACTCTGGCGAACTCCTTTCCCTCCTCAGCCACCCCGTGTACCCCAAGGGCCAGATGCTTAGCCTCCTTTAATAGCTTCAATAGGGACCCTCCCTGAGACATGTAATACCTCCTTGCAGCTTTTCAGTGATTCCTGTAGCCTACTAAGTCAAAGTCAAGGGCAGGGTATAACACCCAAAGCCCCCCCGCTCCCCGCCCGGGTCTGGCCTTTGCTGCCTCCCAGCCCAGTCCACTCCCACTCCCTTGTCACCAGCCTTGCCCACATGCCACCTGCCTAGGATTAGAAGCTGGTTCCTGATGCCCCTGCTCTCTCTCCCTCCTGTGCCTTTGCACATGGGATGTCTGTCCTTCCTCTTCCCTGGGCAATTTCTGCAGCCCAACTGCTCAGATGAGGTCTTGTCCGGGAAGCTGCATGGACCAGCTCCTCCCCTCCCCTGTTGGGGCAGGCACTCCCTCTGTGCTGACCTCTCCCCTGGTGCAGATCATACTCAGTTTTTCCAGCCGCTCATCTGTCTGTGCGCTTTACCAGTCTGCAAAGTCCTTGAGGATGGGAATTGTGCCTTATTTGCCTCTCATCTCCTGAGCTCATGCACAGCCCCTGGAAAGCCCTCATTGTCATTATTTATTTTAAAAACTAATAAGCCATCTCCTTCAAGGATCAGTTTACATGCCACCCCTCCATGAAGCGAAACTTGAATCCCTGAGGGGCAATTAATTGCTTCTCCCTTGGGCTTCCATCACCCATGTTTAAATGGACAGAGGCCACTTCTGGCACTGTGCTGAACAGTCTTCCCACATTGCCAGGCTCATTGGAGGGATGCACCGTGGCCCTCTTCACTTTGCATCTTTGAAGAGCTACTCACTGCCCTTGGAACTGAAAGTGTTGGCTGAGTTGAACCAACTTTATGCTACTAGCCTAATGACAGAAGAAGACAATAAGACCCTGGAAATCAGAGCAGTTGTGCAGCAAACACAGAAAGACTCCCGAGTTTCATTTTGTGTTTCTAGTCCTTGAGGGAGGTGCCAGTGCTACTCCCGAGGCAGCCAGTGAGCCAGCACACTTTGGGTTTCTGAATGCAAGGCCAGGGCTAAGTGCTGGGAGCAACACAAATGGGATAAGACTCAGCCAATGCCCTCGCATTTGTGCTGAATGCTGATTCCAGGTCATGCAACTGTTACGCGTTTTGCCAAAAGTGCCTTCCAGATGAGATAATTCCTTGACCCTTGAACACATTTATAGATGGAAAGATAGTCTTCAGTACCCAGAAAATGCCTCTTCTTCTATCTCTCAACTGTGGGTGGGAAGAACAGTTGCCACCTGTGTATGTCATTCTTCTAGTGAAGGGGGACTTTGGCTGAGAGGTGGCTCCCAGCCATTAGGTGCTTATTCTGTGCAGGGCCCTGTGCTAAGGGCTTTCCTGACAGTCACTCATGTACTTCTCACGTCAGCCCAGTGAGGGACTGATAGTATCATCATCCCCATCTCACAGCCAAAGAAACTGAGGCATGAAGACAAAGGGGTTTTCTGTCCAAGGTGTTACAAATAGTAAGAGGCAGGACCCAGTAGTGGGCTCCAGGGCTGAGCTGCCTCGCTACGGCCTGAGGCGCTTGGCAGTTGAGGCCATAGGGCAGAGTTCAGATTGTTTAGTTGGTGCCTAAACCAACTAAATGAGATCAAGACATCTTTGACGATCATATTAGGTTTGGAGAAAAAAAAAATGACTGCTATTTCTCCTGACACCTGGTTTTGGACAAGATCTAAAACAGGACAGTCAAGGTATCTGTAGGTAACATTTGAAGGAGAGGGGCTGGGGGCCTGTGTCATAGCTCAGAGAAGGGAAGGAGCGAGGACACTTTGGCATATGTGTTAAATTTCCTGGGGCAGGGAGCAGAGGGCAAGTGAGCCAGGGGTTTTTTCCACTTCCCATTGTTCCGATTTTTTGAACTGCACACCAGGCCCCCCCTGCCTCGCACTTGCTTAGATGGGACGGTGAACAGGAGCACCAGTAGAGCTGCCAGGGCCGCACCGACTGTGACCCATGTGGGGTCACTTTGCATAGGGTGCAGGGAACGGAATCCAAGCCCCATGGTCACTTTTGGGCTATGCCTCAGATCCCCAGTTGACCGGCTGAAAGACTGGATAAAACGACAGACATGCTGAGAAACTCCATGTGTCAGGCCCCACAACATTCACCCAGACTATCTCAGGCAGATCTCACAAAATCACGTGCTACAGGCACTGTGATCCTCATTTCTGGATGAGGAAAATACAATCCAGGAAGGTTCAGTGGTCTGCTCAGCCACTCAGCTAGGACGTGATAGAGCCCAGATTTGAACCCACTGCCCCCAAGGGCAGTCTGTGTTCTTGATGGATGCAGAAATACCAGCATCAACTCAGCTCATAACTCAGTTTGGATCTCAATCAGCCAGAGTGATGCATGTCTGATGATGCCATTCCATCTTGCTACAGACCTCAGGCAACAGATGATGCTCTCCTTCCTCAGCTGTTCCTCACGTGCAGAATTTGGGCCAAATCAACAGACAGTGAACTCCTACAAGAAGGAATAGACACCACTGTTAATTGTAATGTACATTTCTTCAAGGACTGCTAAATGTCGTTTAGTTGAATTACTTCATTTATACCTCACAACAACCTGTGAGGTCAGTACTAGTATTCCCATTTTACTGATGAGGAAACTGAGCACACAGTTGTGGCACAGCCTGGAACTATACGTGGGGAGTGTGAGCTCAGAGCCCGCATTTCACTGCACACTCCCATTTGGGCCTTTCTCTTGTGGATGGATGCATGTCTGCATGCTGTGTACACGAGAACAGAGGCAGTTTATGGAATACCTCATTTCACTTTCACACATGTCAGTTCATCTTGGAGAGCATCAACCTTGGAAGTGACATAAAGGAACGTAACAGTGATTCTCATCTCTTGAGTTACAGAAAAAGTCAATTGCCCATCTCCTTTTTACCTAACAAACTTCCCATAAATTCCCATCCTCTATGAGAACTCTGTGTAAACATTGCTGCTTCTG